AGATGCAATATAACACAATTTAGACTGTATTTTGCCAAAAGAACAATAAAATTATATAGTTTCAAGCCCTGAATAAGTGTAGAAAATACACTTATCAGCTAACCTTATAGTAGTATACGAACCTTCCTAATAATTCTATATCGTCATTCGCACAACTAACTAATACAATTTTTGAACAGTTTGCAAGCATCAGAAAACTTGAGAAGCAGTCCGACGTTTGCTATAATATAGTTTAGGGGAAAAACGAATCACTTCATGAATTTGTCGGATAATTCAACCGGGAGAAAGTTTCCATTCCTAGCTGCAACCAACAAATTGTTGTTTCTGCTTTTCAAAAAAGGCTCCTTCCAAAAATTGATTTACAATGAATTGACCAAGTATCTGTGCAGTACAATGGAGGACATCTTGGCTAAAGCCTGGGCCCAGATTACATGGGAAGAGGATGATGCTAACTTCAATTTCACCATACGCCAACCTCCTAGAAAAGATCCGCTAAGACAAAATAGGGCTGAGAAACGGCATGCGAGTACTTATTTTCCTCTAGATAAGAGGGATGGGTAATCCAACCTCTTTATTGGGCCAGCAAAATTAATTGCAGTGCTAAAGGGGATGAATAGTACAATAAATTGGCCTGGAAAGATGCGAAGCTCTAGTGACCATTGTGACAAGAGTAAGTGGTGTAAGTTTCACGTAGACCATGGTGACAATGCTAATGTTTGCATTGCCCTAAGGTTGAAAGTAGCAGAACTGTTAAAGCAGTGACATCTTACAAACCTTCTGACAAAAAAAGGAAAAGAGAACGTCACCAGAAAGCAACAATAGACACATGGTAAGCAAGGCTCTGTTCCAACAGTCGCACCAACATATGATAGAATTATTAACTTCATCACCTCACCGACGGGTCGGAATTTAGCGGGATAACAAGACCGGCAACACAAAGACATACGCGTCGAGCAACTCGTCTTTGCCAGAATCTAAACCAAGTAAGCGAGTCAGACTCACGACATATCATTAGTTTTACAACCTCTGAAGCTACGCAGCCATTCAATCTAATAATGACGCTGTAATGTCCTAGATTTTATATTCTTAATTTGGTTGGTATAGTCCATTTAAGAAATAAATTAAGGAATCTCGGCCCATCTAGGGTTATGAAAGTACAAGCTATAAGTTATTTATA